GAGCTGAGTCTGATTCACAACACTTTTCATGTGTCGAATCTGCGAAAATATTTGGCTGATCCGAATCTAGCTATATCGTTGCCAGAGATTCAATTAGACAGTAAGTTGAATTTTGTAGAAACACCGGAAGCTGTTATTGACCGAAAGATCAGGTTGTTGAGAAACAAAGAAATAAGTGTGGTGAAGATTCGGTGGAAGTTTCACAAAGGACCAGAAGCAACATGGGAATTGGAATCAAAGATGAGATCAGAATACCCATGGCTTTTTTATTAAAGGAATTCCGGGACGAAATTCTTTTAAGGGGTGGATAATGTGATAACTTGATCCTGGTTATCACCAAAGGTAAATAATATGTTATTATCTGATTTAAATGATTACGTGATAGCATGATAAATTGTTACGTTTGATCATACTGGGATGTGAAAATGTGCTTAATATGAAATGCGTATGTTATATATATATATATATATATATATATATATATACATGGTGTATGTATGTATGCATGAGAGTTTTGTGAGAAAAAGGGGTTGTGTTAGCCGCCTTTCCTGTTTTGGAAAGTATAAAAGGGAGGCTGAGCCTCCATATTTTCTCTTCTTGCTTTTGAGTTCCTTGTTGTGCGATTTAAAAGAGAAGAGAGATTGACCGGATTATTTCTCGTTTGGAGATTCAAGTTGATTTCAAGTGTTTGATTTCAAAAGCTTGTTAAGGTAAGTAATTTCTAAACTCTCTTTGCATAAAACTTTTACTGGGAAAGTTTTCCTATTAAATTTTCCCCTTTCCCTTACTGTTCGTACCTCTTGCAACAAGAGATTTTAGAAATTACTCACCTTATCAATCTTTTGAAATCAAACACTTAAATCAATTTGAATCTCCAGCCAGAATAATCTGGTCAACTTCTCTTCTCTTTTTAAATCGCACAACTTTTTAACCAAAGCAAGAAGAGAAAATATGGAGGCTCAACCTCCCTTTTATACTTTCCAAATCAGGAAAGTCGGCTAACAGCCCCTTTTTCTTATTCACACTACCATATATACACTCATGCACACATGCACACACACATGCATGCATACATATATTATGTATATATATATATATGACATATGCATTTCATATTATGCATATTTTCACATACCAGCATGATCAAATATAACAATTTATCATGCTATCACGAAATCATTTAATCAGATAATCACACATTAATTACATTGGGTGATAACTAGGATCCAATTATCACAATTTGCTATTGCTACATATTTCAATTTCTGCTTCTATGGACTATTGCTATTTGATTATGTTGTTTTAATTGTTTTTGTTGACTATTATTATCTATTTTTGCTTCTACATAAAATATTTTACTGTTGTTTAACAATCAACCTATTGTTCTTATAATTTATGACATGTTTCTTGGTTTTGTGATTAATCAATAAATTTTTTCTACTAGATATATATTTAGTAATGTCTCTTATATATGTTATGTTCTATAAACTTTTAATCTTAACATCTTAATATACTTGAGCAAAAAAAAGAAGAAAAATATAATTTAAATATTTTCGTTAATTGTTTGACTTATGTATCTTTCATTGAGATTCCGCGACACCACAAGATTATATTCAAGTGCTCAAACAAAAGTTTGCATATTATATGTTTAATTCATTATTTATTCTCATTGGATCTCAATGGATCACCTTTTCTTTCATATTTTTATTGATCCTCATTTGTCTACTTATCTAAAAAACCTTGATAATCTTCTTTATTATTGATCTCTCATTGACACTCACAATTACTTCGTTCACACGAATTCTCTTTTTGTATCAAAATAGCACATATTTCTTGTTATGAACTAAAAAATTCTTACTTTTTATAAAAATTTATCAACCATAATTTCTATATTCTTGGTTTCAAATTACCTAACAAGAAGTAAGTAAATTTAAATACTCTCTTATATATCTATAATAAGGATAAATAAGATTTCTTTCCTCAGTAAATTATTAGCATTTCTTGTACTCAATTTTATACTAATGAAGAACATTTATTGAACTTTTTTCGTACTTACTGGGGGTCATTGTAAGAAAAGTGAGTTTTGACGATGTGCGTTTTGGCGATGACATGTTTCCGCGACAAGTTATGGCAACGATATGTTGTTGTTATATACTCTTTCTGATGATAAATGGACTTTTAGCGACGACAAAAGACGTTGCTACAAACCTTGTTTCTTGCAGTGGGGCTGTTTTTTCGTTCGCCCAGAGCCTATAAAATGTCGGGAATGGGTGTTATGAAATAATAATATGTAACAAATACATGTTAGACTTAAACACAAGTCAAACTATATATAAAATATATTTTATTATTATCATAAATTATTATTTCGACTAAAAAATAATTTGCATGTTAATTGTTGAGGTCAATTTGCTTGTATGTGTGTGACCCTTTTGGGATCATATATTAATAACCCTATCATCAAGTGTAGTGTGATGGGCATATAGATTCACCATATCCTTGGTTCTTGGTGTTCAAATTTGCTTATTTGTTCAAGCTTGGCCATGAGATTCAGATCATAAACTACATTAGAGAAATTGCTGGATTTATAGCTGAATACTTGTTGTTTTGAATAAGAAAGGAAAGCCCAAAAGAGAAGTATTTTCAATCACAAGATCTTACCAGACTATAGAATACCCAGAGTTTGAAGTGGTGAAAGAAACTTGTTGATGATAGACACATCAAGTACAGAAAGTCTTTGGTGGTATTGTAAGAGTAATCAGATTGGCTGCTCAAATGGATTTTTCAAATAAATGAAGTGTTTGAGAGAGATTGAAAGAATCAAGACTAGATCTGTTGTCTGTATACTTGAAGAAGATGGTCACGGAGAAAAAATGGAGAAAAGCAGCAAATGAATGTGATCTGGATCCTTGAAGCGATAAAAATAGAAGCTAACATCCTGATACTTGTTCAAGGATTAATAAACTTCTGATTCATTGCAATGTCTTTGTGAACATGAAGGGGGAGATTGGAAGTCCCATCTGAAAGTTGGTTCAAAGATCATTGCCGTTTACCTAAACACTTACCCGATAAGCACTTACCCGTAAACGGCACCTAAGTGTTAAAATCTAGATAGAAGGTTCAAAGATTATTCCAGTAAGGGGCCGTTTACCTAAACACTTACCTAAAACTGTTGAGAGGTCACTATTTGAATAAAACATGTCTTTCTCAATTGCTAAGAGTAGTTAGGTCTTTCATTACCATTACCATTACCATTACCATGCAACCAGGACCGGTCCTATGGTTTTAGATGTCTTGTGTGGAGAGTAGAAAAATGCCCCTAATCCAAGAAACAGATAACATATATTTTTAAGACTTTACATATTTATAGAGGGATGCTATCTTTCTTGGGGGAGAGAGTAGATCCAAGGCAAAAGGGAATCTCAACATTGGATCTAGACCACATCATCATTTGCATGGTGCACCAACATGATTATATATTTGATGACGATGAGTAGCAACATATGAGGTATATAATATATCATGACAACCTCTCCATTCATTGTTGACTAATAACACCATTGTATTGTTTTACATACACTCTTTTTCTTTAGGCTTATTATGAGTTGAGTCTTTAGAAGTAATCAAAATATTAGCCTCATTTACTTACGTTTTACAATTACAATAAAAAAGAAAGCATTTACAAAGTAACAAAGACAAAAAGATATGTACATCACCTATTAATGTTTGAGTTCACCAAATAAGCAAATCACTTAAATAAGTGAAATAGGTTTAAGGAAATCACTCAGATAATAACAATAAACATCAAGAAACTAAGAAAACATCAAGATTCAAGGAAAATAAGCCAATCATATAACTAGATGAGTAAATAAGAAACTAAGAAAGAAAACACTTTGATTCAAGTTTGAAAGAAACTAATTGCGGTTTGAGAACTGAGAGTGAGAGCCGAGATCGGAGGTCAGAAGATGAGTCAAGGTGAGAGGAGAGGCAGAGAGACGACTGCCAAGAGCAATGGTGGGTCATAGTCAGTGTTGTGCGTTGTAGGTGAGGTGCAGAAGGTCAGTCATGAATTGTGAGGGCAAAGGTGGGAGCGAGAGGCCACGAGCGCCAACATTTTTTGGAAAAAAAAATCAAATAAAAAGCCTACTAACTCTATTTGATCGATGGACTATGATGCCCTCTGACTTTAATGCCCTAGGCCACCGTCCTCTTCGCCCAATACTAGGGCCACCCATGCATGCAACTTGATTTAGTTTTTTGCTTTTAACTTGGTTGCTTTTTATCATTTTATCAAGACAAGTTAGTTGTATCTCTTTAAAGGGTGGTGTAACCCCCACTCCTCGTAGTACAAGTTAGAAAGATTTAGTGACTCTTTACCAAACGTTTATCTGGTAAGTACTTAACAAGTCACGTCACTTTATCGAATGAACATGATAAGGACCGAGAATCTTACTCGATAAGAGTAATGGTAAAAACTAAGGGGTTGTTTACTAAATGCTTACCTGAGCAAGTGCTTACGGACAAAATTCATAACTATCACTTACTTACAGGATAAGATTTTAGTCCACCAAAATAGAGAATCGTATGCAACAATTTACCCAGTAAATACGAACATTGGTAAGAATCGTCGCTATCACTTACGGGTAAGACTTTCGGTCCCTGCCTTCGCTCTTACTAGGTAAAACTCTTAGTTCCTTGACATATTTATTCAGTAAGGTAACGTGACTTAGTAGGCGCTTATCCGGTTAAGCCTTTGGTAGATGGCCCCTAAGAGTCTTTACCTGGTAAGTGAGAGTGACAACTCTTACCAAGTTAATGTTTATCAAGTAAATTGTTGTATAGAATGTCATTTGATATCTTTCCTGATAACGTAAGCGATAATATGAAATTTTAGCGGTAAATACTTATGGGTAAGTTTTTGGATAAAGAGACCCTTGTTGAATTTGCATACAAATTGCATACGGACAATTAACATAACTTAAAAAGTACAGAGACGAAACTAGCACGAACCATACGGATAAAACGTAGATTACTCTATATTTTTTCAAAAGAAAGGGTCTTAAATTCGACACAAAGACAGCTTAAAACCATCGCCACCCACTGATCCTACCTAAAACAGATAGTACTCAAATTCAAAACCTTCAAGAGAAAAGAAAACTCATCCAAAAAATCTTGATCGTCTAATCTTCATCCATTGCTTGTTGATCTCTCCTTCCAGGCCCACCCGCTGGTTTTGACATTATTATCTGCAAATACCACCAATAATCATATTATAATCTAACATACCCAACACAGTTTTCCAGAAGCTGTTGGCCAACACCATGATGTTGCACAGCTTAATTAAATTAATAGAAACTTTCTCGACATAAAAACTTTTCGATTATTTTCATTTCCAATTACATCATACCTATAAGTTGAATATCACTTTTCTAACAGACGTTAAAGGAAATCTGTAATCTGCTTTCAAGGCCAATAAATCGGTTTTGGTTTCTTGCAGTATCGAAACAAAGAGTTCGATTTCTCTAGTTATTACTTTCTTCATGCTTCCAATGATATATACACACAAAATCCTGTTTTTCTATCGTCAATCCTGTAGAAATTTCCTACGACAAACTGTCTCATGCAAGATGGTTTTTTTCTCAAAATATTTGAATCCATTTGCAGGTATTTCGTCTTCAAAACATTAATCTCAATAATAGCTCCACTAAACTAAAAGGAAGAGAGACGGAATTTCAGAAAAAACTTAAACAATCATGCTAATGTTAAAAAGAGCGAATAAAAGTTTATATTAGGTACCTGATCTACACGTAGAACAGTACAAACTGCATCAGCAGCATACTTGAGTGCATGAAACCTAAAACATAACAAGTTACAGAACACATCAGACAAATTAAATATAGGTAACAATTACAAATTACAACTAACAATAACCACCATACAACCTTTTGGTACAAATCCAGCTGTCATTGTTAAAATACAAGAAAATTTTGCACCCCACTTGGTTCGTACGTCATAACTACAATTTATTTCCATTGTTATTCTAAAAGCTTTAGTTATCCATTAATGGTAGTACCAAATAACAAGATTCTAAAAATGTTTCTTGTACTTGAAACAACAATAACTATGGGGCTGTTCTAACTAAAGAATGTTCATTTTGCTTGATAAAAGAATCATGTGAAAGATGTTGCTGCAGAAACCTTCTCATGTATTGCACTATGAACATAAATACAAGTAAACCCAAGGGGTAGCTTAACTGGTAAGACCTCAAGAAGTCACCAGTTCAAGTCCTCTCAAGGCCACACTGGAGGGTTTGACTGGCTGCTAACTTTCAGGGATCCATGGGATTAGTCGAGGTGTACATAAGTTGACACACAGTTACCAAAAGAATCATAAATACAAGTAACATCTTGAAATTTTCAGAGAACTTCTTACTTGGTGACATAAAGATCCCATATATTTAATGTAGACACATCCTTGCATGCTCCTTCTTCCAAGTCTATACCAACTTTGACGTTTCCAGATGCATGATCTGCATATAAACCAGATATGATTTCCATGGCATTAAGCCCAGCATTCTCCGCCAAGGTTTTTGGTATCATTTCAAAGCTCTCAGCAAACTTTGCAATAGCATACTGATCTAATCTGCAAAAGGGATAATATAAAAGAAAGTCAAAAATATTTCTTTCAACATAAATAAAAAAATTTAAACATTATCCACACTTATAGACAGCGGTTGTGATACTCCCCATAAGAAAGAAAAAAGAAGTTCAATCCACAGGTTAGAACTTCTTTCTGGCTTGCTGCTATCGCCAGCAAGAAGTTCAATCCGAACTTCCTTCTGGCTTGCTTAGCACAGAGCTCATACTAGCAAGGAAAAGCGTCCTCAAACAACAATTTATCGCTTACAAGACAGCTCCAAACCATGCTTTCCCATCCCATGTGGTGGACCGCAAAACAATACAATAATTTCACCAGCATCATATGAAATACCCACGCTGCCTTAAAACTGTTGCCTCTTTTGACCATGTAGTCAAAGAAACTACTTCCAACTATTAATTGATAAGAATCATATAAATTTTGAGGGCAATTGATGTCTACTTTGAAGCATACAAAAACATAACTAAATATCAGCAAACAGTGCTAAATAAAAAAAATTGATATTACTTATCAATGCAAGAAATAATAAATGGAATATTCAAATCTTATTAGCTCACAAAAGTTGCTATTTTCATTGAAATGCTTCATTGGTCTAAGCAAGATTTGGTCATGTTAGCAGGTATAGGGCATATATGCCCATGTAAAAAGAGAAAGCCACTAACATGACAATGTTAAGCAGACTATCTACAGGATTGTGGCATGGGATCCATACAACCATCACAAGGATATGCAGTTATATAAGCTATAACTTTTGCAATTAAAGATCAGCTCATCGAAAGGAAAAGTGAGAGTATCAAAATGCAGTTATGTAAGCTATCACTTTTGCAATTAAAGATCAGCTCATCGAAGGGAAAAATGAGTATCAAAATGCAGTTATATGAGCATCGACTTGATAATTTACCTAGTGAGAAAGCCAGGAAAAGACCCAACAGGCATACAAACTCACTCTCCCGGGGAAGCAGAGGAAGGCAAGATTTATTAGGTGGGGCAACTAGCTAGCAAAATAGAAAATATTGCGAGATGCATATGTGACCATAAAAGATAATCTAACCTAGAGAAAAATGTAAAATAAAATACTACTCCTTGAGTAAGCAGACAGATGTACTCTGCTCAAGTTTGTGCTTATTTCTAAACATAAACCAGCTGGAATCTCTTTGCCAATACAAATACAAAAAAAGAAGCAAGCAAGTGAATACCCTGTCTCTGTAAAAGAAAATTCCTTCAATCTTCTGGCTAATTCAATCTCGGTGGCTGCAGCTCCAGGTACAATTCTACTGTCTCTGCATAAGGCCTGGAAGTTCAAAGAAAAGAGTTGATGTGTATTTGCCAAATGCCAAGGAAGTTCAAAGAAAAGAGATTTATTATAAACTGTTGAACAAAAAAACCTCAAGAAATAGGATACCTTGTAAGTATTTACGCCATCATCAACTGCCCTTTCCAGATCATCCAATATGCTATCAGTGCTTCCTCGCAGCACCACAGTGGTCACGGAGTTCCCACCTTCTTCGTTTCTTACAACAGTGACCTAAAGAAATATTCAAACCAGTTAGGGATGAAAGAAACGAAAGGGAAAAAGAATTATAAAAAAAATGTTGTTCCATACCCTAGCACCACCAATTTCCTCAACAGAAATGGAGTCAACATATCCAAGATCATCAGGGTTTACAGTGCCAAGCTTCAACTGCAATTATAATTGAAGTATTATTAGTAGCGGCTAAACCTTCCATGACTTTATTTGATGTGCTAACACATGCTTACAAGAGCAACAGCACCAGTTGTGCGGCAAAAACGGCGAAGTTCAAATTTGGAGGCGATTTTTAAGACCATGATCCTGTAAATGAATCATGAATGTTAAATAATGGCATTTAGGCTTGACAAGGACGTAGCACTATGCAACTTTTAAACCTGTAAACAAAATTGCAAAAAGGTTGACAGCCCATGAGATCATGCATCAAAAAATAAAGATACAGGTAACATAGGCATTCAAACAGTAAACTATGTTGTGCATCCTACCGAAAACCTTTACCAGGCATACACATAATGACAATAGTAATATCTAAGATAGTGCTAAAATGATGTAGAGTTAAGTAGCATAATAATACTATTGAAATGTGTCAAGCAAATGGAACAGTTCTTTTTTCAAAATAGCAAATAGAACACTTCTTTTTTCAAAATAGCAAATAAAAAACTTTTAAAGATCACCAAATAATAAATAAAATATGCAAACCTTTAAACTCGCACTGCAATTTGAAATAAAATCCGTCTAAGAAGCATTTTGGAAAAAAGATAGGATTGAGCATACTTGTAACGCTCACAAAAGTGCAGAGCCATCTCTCCTACAGCCACACCACTAACTATGACATTTGCACCTGAGTCTGCAACAGCCTTGATGAGCTCTTCAACCTTTGCTTCTTCCGTTTTTGCATAATTTTCAAGCTACAAATCGAGTACAAAATATTTAGAGAGATTTGTTCAGAAAAAACACTGAATATAGATAAATGTTGACATTAGATCCTCAACATCACATCAGCCCAATTTCTGATATAAACAGTGAGCAAGCAGAAAGACAAGCAATTCGTCAACTAATGAAATGAATAGTTCTTAATTTGTTTACACTATGCAAGTTCTTAATCCCCCCCCCCCGGCTCTTTACTCTGTTGTAAGAACTTCATTCCATATCACAAACACAGGCAAGGAACCTTCTCAAATAGCTTTTAACTGAACTGTGTAGCTCTGATACTGATGTTGTATTCAAAATTGTTTTTAAGATATGATAGCATTAATATAGGATTGAAACATCAAAGATTGCATACTCAACATTTTTATAGTTTGTTCCAGATATCTAATCAGTGTCTTGAACAAGAGTCTAAAACTCCATAAACCTTGTGCTGATGGCCCATGGCATAAAATGAAAGACATGGCCGCCATGTATTAACCAATACACTCAGGATTGTACCACGTACAATATCCACTATTCATAAAGCATCAAGAGGAAACCTTAGGTCACAGAAGAACATCCATACAAGTGGCAAATATTAGATGAAGGGAACCACCCTCATCCAAGGAACCAGCTTCAGGTCTTAAAGGGACAAAGACATAAACACTGTGTTCTCGAGTCCTTTTATACGAAGGAAAAAGGAGGGAAATGGAAGGAAAGTAGGGGGAAAGAAAAATGTTGTGTTCTCAACGTTTTTTTTTTTCGAGGGAAAGGAAAGTAAAAGGAAGGAAAATAATGTTGATTTTCCTCCCAAAACTTCCCTCCCAAATGTGGGAGGAAAGGAAAGGAAATAAATGATAATAATTATAAATATTTATAAAACTATACATCTACCCATCAATTATAACCTGCTGGAAAATAAATAAGGGTATAGTTGTAAAAATGACATCATCCTTTCCTTTCTCTCCTGCTCCAGAACATGAAACTCTAGTTTCTTTTCTTCCCTTCCCTTGCTTTCCCTTCCCTTTCAAGAACACAAAAACAGATTTCTTTCCTTCCCTTTCTTTTCTTTTCTTCTCAGATTCGAAAACACAGCAAAAAGGAGATTGGTCATGTTGCCTCAAATTGAAATTGAAATACTCCTAGCTTTCCCTTCTAGCATCAAGCATCACCTCGAGACACCAAAAGCAAGACGCCGCCAGCCAGTGGCGGACCTATACATAAACTTAGCAGGGAAGTGCCCCGTCAAGAAAGCTTTGCAAGAATAAAAAAATCCCACACTCTATCTCTATCTCTAGCCCCCATCCCCTTCCTTCCCCATGATTATTTTTGCCAATTTCTCTTGCTCTGTGCTGTTCTACAATGCTTTCTTGAGATATTGTAAAGTAGCTGTACTTCAAAGTTAAATCATTTGTGAAGAAAGGCACTAGCTTGAAAGTTGAATCGTCTGTGAAGAATGACAATTTACTTATTTATTGAACTTGTATTTTATATTATGTTAGTCAAATGTGCATGATGCGCCCCCGGTGGCTGGAGATTCTGGATCCGCCACTGCAGCCAACCTCTGCACCACCAACAGACTATTTGCAAGTATGGAATGATCCTGGTATTGGTTCAAATATACAGACAAAAAGTCCTCTAGGTATTTGCAACCCCCCCCCCACCCGCCACACACACAGCCATAGAACAATGCCCATGATCACCAAGGGTCCATGAGGTTGAACCCCACATGATCACCAAGGTTCCTACCCATAAGGATCCTCTACTCCCATTCCTTGCACCTGAATTTTTTCCTATCATCTTTGATACACATTTGCCCCCTCTTGAACTGAGGCACATGAGGTACCTACAACTAATCAAGAAGTAAATATTGAACAAGTAGTATATTTTAATATGTAAATAAATACCAAGTTTTAACCTTCACCGTTGACCAACTAATTGATATATAACTTTTCTGGGGTTCAAGCAAAAACGGTACTTGTAAAATTGACTAAATGGTAGCTATCTATTAAAAGTACTTGAAAAGGGGGTACACTTCTACAATTGTATATCAGTGTCTATAGGTAACAGCAACTACTAATTAAACAATGATCGAGATGTAATACCGTAAATACTAGATGCTTACAATTGAAAATACTGCTATCAATCACTATATTGCAAACACTACAAAAACTTTGGAACAGCATCTATGGTATATAATCACCAAGTTCCAAAATACACTTGGAAATATAGAATACAACAACATAATAATCAGAAGGTTTATTGGAAGACGTTTTCAGTTTTGTTTTGGATATTAGTTGAAAACTGTATGATGGGCACTTATTTCATGCAATATTAAATGACCAATGGAAATAACTCTTTGTTCAACAAAAATGGCCTCAAACATTGACTTCTACCTCTCTTCAGTAACTTTGCTCTCTGTGTGCCCCACACCTCAGGCCAAGGCACATGTGGCATTCCAAAGAGAATACTATACACCTCAACAAAGTCAAGGCACCAAAATACCTCACATCAAGGCATATATTTGTCACCAAAACTATGAGCCGTTTCCACAAGTGTATGATTGCAAGGAAGCCTTTTTTTATCGATCACCTTCATCATATATAGGCACTTACGAACTGAAACAATTTTACATGTTCCGTGAACTTATCTTTGTAAAGGAGCCAACTTAAATTTTATGCACATTACAACCCATGTTTTATTAATATTAACGCCAACTAGTCAGTACTCAGTAGCGGTAAGTTCCTACACTCTGATGCATCAGGTCAATTTCTCCCAATCCAGTATGTACAGACCCTTTTCCAGTATGAAAAAACTGAGTGCTCAGAGCCCAAAACCATGTTAAAAAAGATACTCAACCAATTTCCTAAACAACCTGAGTTTCTTTAGCTTTCCATACCCTCAATTGATCCATTGACCCTTTCCCTGCTATCCAGTAGAAATACATCTCTTTACTATTAAGGAAATTCATTCAGTTTGAGGAAATTAAATAGTTTTATTCGGATATGAGCATAGGGTATCTCACATGTCATAAGATAACTAGACAAAGGAAATCAACAAAGAAAGAGTTGCATGAAACCACAATATAGCTGATACAACCAAGATATATATGAACAGGAATAATGGACATCCATAAGATTGCACCTGCTCAGCACTGTGAATCAGGACAGTTCCTTTGGTCTCAGTTGCAGTTGTATCAACACCACCAGCAATCACAACCACCTACAAAAGCAATAAATCATTTCAGCTTGAGAAAATGCACTCTACTAAAGTTCGATTAAGAAGGATGGTAACAAAATTGAGAATTGAATTGAATAAGGAGAGTTTTTATTCCTTTCTACACAGAAACAATAGGATACAAGCAGCTTAAGTAGGATGAAGCTATTCTAGGAGAGACAATAATACAGGGAAAGCACTAATTACATAATATAGACTAGACATAGAAGATTGAGAATCAATCTATTTACAAAAAATATTTATGAAATAAATTTAAGATTATAAGTCAACACTCCCCCTAAAGTTGGATCATAGATATTAACCATGTCCAACTTGCTTATAGACTAGACATAAATAGAAGATTGAGAATCAATCTATTTACAAGAAAATATTTATGAAATTAATCTAAGATTATATGTCAACAAAAACTAATGAGCCATTAGTTTAAAAACCATGAGTGATTTACATCAAAAATGCAGTGGCGTTCACAATTACATCTTTACTAGATAATGTCTTTCAACAATCTGATACACAGTTAGCAAAGCAAAGTGCAACACCCACTAACATGCTAACCTATTGTCTTTTTCTTGCTATGCTCAAATGCAAACTTAAAAGCAGACACACCACATGCATGTATACATGGAGTCAAAAGTCAAAATTGAAGGCCTTGACCTTTCCAATCAGCTTGTTCAATAAGGGAATGGCAATCACTTTCCTCAAGGATACACTGCCCTTACAGCTAAATGTAGCTATAACTCATGCTGGTGACATAATGCAGATCATCAAAAAGACACAAATCAACTTGTTTACAAGTGCATGCTAGAATTATACTCAATAGAAACAAAAATATAGAGCAACATTCAAAAAACTAAAAAGCAATGAGTTGATAAGTTTGATATGCCAATGTAAATAAGAACATGTAGAAACTTGAGTAAGATCACAACACCTAGAATAATACTTAGCAAACCCCAAAATAGGCACTCACCTTTGCCTTCTCTATTCTCTTTATACTCCCTACAGTGTCTCCTTTTAGAACCATGCCTCTAACAGTTGTACAATTATGCAGACCTCCACCCAAAAGTTTTGCAACTCTCACATTATCCACATTGAAGTTTACTGGGTTCTTTGGGCAAACTTGTATGCAAGCCTGCAATGAAGAATTAAGACAACAGTTGTGAACACCCCTAAGTTGACCTACTGATAGCCATTTGACAAGAAAAGGGAAGTACATCTGCAATAAGAGGACACAAAATAGACTCCTGTCCATATTGTTTGCTAGCAACAGCAGCTTTCATCCTTAAAATAACTTCATCTTTGTTCCTCACATCCATAGTGTCAGAACCTTCCTCGACTAATCCTTCCAAGATCTCAACAACCTGCAATATAGAGTAAAAGGTTGGGTACAGTGGGACAATACTCAAATGGCATACTTTTAGCATATGCAAGACACTTACTTAGTTTAATTTGAGATCCACAAATTATGTATACAGTATACTAATTAATAAAAATAATGTAAGGTGAAAATGCATGGCCTTTGCTGTCAAACTATGTGCCTCAAACTGATAAAGCTAAATAACTGGTCCTTTGTGTCAGCCTAGGGGCTTGTCTACAAGTGACTTAAAACACTAAAGAGACATGTAAACCAACTATCTATCTGAACATGCAAGGAAAAGGCTTGATCTAATGAAGGAAGGTAGGAATGAAATCTCAAGACTTTAAGAAGAAATAGCAAGCAGAAAGTATTTTCCACTTTTTCTTCTGCCCGACATACAATAAAGTCACAATAATTAAAGCTTGGAAAACCTTCTTAATTGCTTTTGTGTATCCAATGATGATTTCACTGGGATGCAGTCCCATCCTAATGAGGTCTTCTGCACCCTGTAAAAGCTCCCCTGCAAATGAAACTGTTAGGTTGGCTCCATCACCAATTTCCTCCTGCTGCGCTTTCCCTGCCAAAACCAAGATTTTCGCTGCAGGATGCTGAATCTCAAGTTCATTCACGATGGTGGCAGTATCACTTGTCACAAATAGCTTGTCCAGATGATTGATAACCATCTTATTCATACCTAGCGGAAGAAATAAGATCATAGAAAAGGTATTAAACATAAAGGTAGATAACAACAATAACGATGTCGAAAAATTGGAGTTCAGCTCCCTCCATGTAAAGCAAGTTATATAAAGATAGCAAACATAGCATTCTAGAACAAACTCTAGAAACAAAAACTCGGCATAATTGAGAAATAACTTAATGCCGCAAATCCCACACATTCTATCAATAAAACTTCCAAACGCTCAAGTAGATCTTCTCAACCTTGATCTTTACAGTAAACACTTAAAAACAATAAAAAAAATGTATACCATTGGGACCAAGAGAAGTTCTGGTAATGGTGGAAAGCTGTTTACAAGCATCGATGTTCTTAACAACAGCTTCATCTAAACCAGAAAGATGCTTGTGCCCTTCTTTTAGCATTCCCTGGATGCCGTAGGGTTGCGCTTGGAGCCCCATGTTTTTGTTGATCTATGGAGAGATTATCAAGTAAGATGGTGCTGGTATTCTTGATCCCGCCTTGACGTCTTTTACTGTTCAAGATGTCGAGGATGATGAAGTGCAGTGGAGATTATGATGATGAAGCTAGCAAGTGATGAGTGTGAATATCCTTTTTCTTCGAATTTTGAGCAGATTCAAATACTTTGTCTGAGGTTTGAAGATGAATACTGTGCTTCAATTTTCAAAGCCCTAGTTCTTCGTTTGTCATTTGAATATTTTTGGGCCTGGTTTGTTGGATTTTGAAGTGGGTTGGATTGATTTTGCTTGCAAAGCCATTGGTTTGTTACTTATGGGCCTCTAGAGAATTCGTCTAATTTGGTTCCCAACCGTATACCCGGTTAAGCATTTACCATAATTCATATTACTTTAATAGCAGAATATGGCAAGTATCAAAAATCTTACCCGATAAGAATGAGACAAGGACCGAGAGTCTTACTTGGTAAGTGAGAGTGACGACTCTTACTATTGTTAGTGCTTACTGGTAAATTGTTACATACAATATCGTTTTTGTTGACTAAAATCTTACAGGATAAGTAAGTGATAGTGTTAAATTTTACCAGTAATTCTTACTGGGTAAGTATTTAGTAAACGGCCTATAAGACAAAGATTACTTTCTCGGTCTAGAATTATTTTTGAAGATGCCTAACAAGCATCTCTAACAAATTTAAGAAAAAAATTCAAAATAAATAATCAAAAGTTAAAATCTCCAAAAAAAAAATTATAATCATCTCCAACATAGTCTTTAAAGACAAAGATTACTTCTTCGGTCTAGAATTATTTTAGAAGATGCGTTATTAGAACATCTCCAACAGTCTATTTAAAAAATTCAAAATAGAGAATCAAAAATCAAAATCTTCAAAAATATTACATTATCTTCATAGATTATCCATTTTAGAGAATCCAACATTGATTACAATATTAAAATGTTTCATTTATTCATTAAAAATTTACTTCTCTCTCTAAATATCTATTTTCAAAGTTTCTTATTGGTGGTCTTACTTGGTAATCATTTTTAGAGTGTTCTCCATATTTGGAGAAAAACCTTTCTCTCTCTTATTTCCATTTTATAGATAGTTTTTGGGAAGCTGTTGTAGCAAAGTATTGGCTCAAAATCCTTATTTTCTCAATTTTCTTCATTTTGGAGAAGTTGCTGAAGATGCTCTTAGAAATCGTACGATACATATCAATTTTGAAATTTGAAAGTGAAACCCTTAATTTTAATTTATGTTTTGTTTTATTATTTATCTCTTTGAAATTTTATAGTTTTATATGGTTTAAGGAGATAGTCTTTGGTTGATTGTTAGTTTTATGTAATATTTTGATGTATTAATAATTCTAAAAGCTTATTTTGTATTTGGATATATTTATCAGTTAGCTTTAAGAAATTGTATGTATGTAGTTATAAATTGTAAACTTGAATCTTAAGCTATTTTAAGAATATGAAGTAAATGATTTATTCTATAGTGAACATGTCAAAATGAATATACATTCAAATATGCATATTAGTTACGTACACTGTTGCAAAAAAAGGATGGAAAATATGATGTAAATAGAGAATAAAAAACTCATGAAACTTTTATAGTAGAACCAATGTTTTAGAAAGTCTTCACCACGATCGTCGTTATACGTCATGGCTCAAGGTTTGTATTTGACGCCACGTTAAGCCTGTGCAGACCATAGCCTAATGTGCGGGTTTTGTAACGCGGTATTTGATTTTTCTTACATTTTTATGTCTTATTAGTCAGTTGTTAACATATAATCTAATTTAAATTGTTTAATATCATTGACTCATTGAGTATTAGTATAAATCATATGTTAATATGTATAATATTATATATTATATAGAGGTTTTCTGTCATATGTCATGTTGTTAAAAATGACGTGGCCTCATTGTATTTCCTAAAGCTTAAGGCTTGGTCTTGCCGCCACACCACGTCATGCCTCATGCCATTTAGAACCTCGAGTAAATTTGTAACACTCCTAAAATAGGAGACAATTTAAATCGTAGAAATAAAGCGGACTAAAAACTAAATCAAATATAATCACCCAATAGGGGGGAAATAATATGATTGTTTACAATTAAATGGTGGACGGTAAGTAACAACCTATTAATCTAAATCAAATATAGATTTATATTACAATCGGGTGCCACTACAATCCTCAAAAGAATACTATCAAAGAAACTCCACAATTCTCTTCCAAAAAATGATAATCCAAAAATGCCTCTACCAACAATATGGATCCACTCAGACATTGGGAGCCCCACTGTTATGTGATCCTGATATACATGTCATATAAGAAAAATGTTAGGTCTAATGCCTAGTGAGTTCAAACATTTATAGAATAAAGCTATAAAGTATTAAAACCAAGAACATATCTTTAATCCAGTCATTTCATATATTTAAATCATAATTACTCTTGGAAGGGTATTAAACTCATAAGATGGTGGGGGAGGATGGTTTACCATTGACAGTGACAAAAAGTAAGCCACATTTCAATGTTATAAAGCTCCTATTATGGGACATTGGCTATCGAATTTAACCACCCACGATATGTAGTTCGGGTCCCTCAATGAACTAAGTAATGCTCCTTCACTAGAATCATTTTATTACGAGGTCACACGGTCATCGAGTTCAACCACCCACGGTATATAGTTCGAGTCCCCCAGTTATATAATTCTCGTATCTAGCCATTGAGTGGGAATAATTATCCCATCTTATTACCATAAGTCGACTTCTATGCCTATGAATCTATTGCATTCTCGTCTAAAACATATATCTTTATAGGCATGTCAAAACATGTCCAACATATAAACATTTGTATACTAATAGTTATTACTTTTTTGTCAACAAAATCAAAGATATGAATATTATAAGTTCAGATCCCAAAATTCACCAATACTTTGAAATAATCATCTCCCATGTATTTAAAATCATTCTCCAGACTTGTTTTTTCAAAAGATATCAAATCCCCAAAGTCTTCAAATTTGACCTAGTTGGTCTGAAACCAACCAAATGTGAAATACTTGAAATAAAAGCTTAGAGGTAAAATACAATATTTTATTATGTATATAGTTTTATAAAAATGTAGGATGAACTCATAATGCTAGGTTTTGGGTGAAAACCTAGAAATCAACAAAACCTTTGAAATGGAGATGAAAGACTTGAATTTTGGATCCTAGTTTTGAATCTATAGCTTTAATGATGAAAAAAACCTCTATAAATGTGGGAGAGGTGAATAATGGTCCAAGAATCAAAGATAATGAGGAGGGAATAAAGAAAAACAAGAAGATTGCAAGATTCAGATCTAAAGTTTCTTCATGCAAATAATAATTATGTGGAACTCTGATAGTTATATCAGATTTATCCAGAGATCTGAAGTGAAGACCTAGAGATCTGGACTTAAAGGCTCAGAAGTCTAAATAGTCTGATGTGCCTTTCCAAAATTGTTATCAGAGTTATTATATATTACACGTGTCATGTTCCTAGTTGTCTTTATCATACAAACATGCATTCTTAGTTTTCCTTTGTTATATAATAATGTAGTAGAGAGTTGGTTAGAACTAATTCTAGAGTTGTACTTTTCACAGTTAATACATTCTCTTTCTACATACTTTTTAATCAATCTTTCAATAGATGACATGATGACCTTCTCTCAATATGTGTTCATCTTAATTTTTCCATACTTCATTTGAATACTCCATTGATTAGATCTATTGTTAAAGGGACCTAACAATTGGCTAATGAATTTAAAGATTTTGTTTCTCTCGATTTCAAGTTCAAGATCGTTTGGTAAATTGTATATGTTTTCAATTCCTAATTGAAGTTTGTTGATTCAATTCTTGATTAATTTAAATCAAAAGTTGAATGCGATTTGTTCTGTGTTGCAATATCTTTTTTCTAGAATATTAATTCTATTCAACTGTTCGATTCTTGAGATCTAACAATGTCTAAGGAATATGTTAGCATTGGATCAGAGACAAAGCCTCCAGCGTTATTCTTTGGAGAGTATTACCGATGGAAGATTATGATGGTACAATTCTTGGATGATATTGATGAAGATCTCATGAGATCCACCATTTAAGGACCTTATGAGAGCTATATCGAGATTCCCGCCATTTCTAAGAGTGATGATACACTAGATATACCTGCTTCCATAATCAAAAAGGCAAAGAAATATACAGTAGAAGAAATAAGTCAGGCTAACATTGATAGAAGGGAAATGACACTTCTTACAATGGCTCTACCCAATGAAATATTCAATAGAGTTGATAGTTTGAAGTCTACTAAACAGATATGAGATAAAATAGAAGCACAAATGGTGGGGCAAAGACAATGCAAAACAAGCTCAATTCATGCATAGGTGCTTATGAGGCCTTCAAAGTAAGTGAGTCTAAGTCTCTTTATGAAACTTACAAGAGGTTTAATGATATACTTAATGATCTGAGGAGGAATGGTGTTAAGAAAACCAATAATGAAATCAATATCAAGTTTCTTAAAAACTTGAGGCCTGAGTGGGACATTTTTCCATATTCCTTACAAATCACAAAAAATCCAAATAAGAAAGATATTCATGATTTGTTGGAACTCTAAATCAACATGAAGATAGAGTCAAAGAAAGGATGGTTGAAAAAAAGGTAAATGAATCCTTGGGCTTAATTTCTGAAAAGAAATACAAGTTCTCTATGAAACACTCAGGGTCTTCCTCCAAAAAGATAGTTGAGTTACCAGAAAGCTCAGATTCTGAATCTGGAGGCAATTGTGATTCAGAATTAGAGATGTAGAAGATTGTTGAAAATCTGGCCCCATTTACCAAGAATTTTAACAAGAAGTTTTCAAAGAAGCCCTACTCAAACAAGTATAAGAAAGACAGTGGTTATATGGAATATAAATCTGAAGATAAGTGTTAGGAACTTTAGATTCAGCTTATGATATTAACCAAATACTCTGGATGATCTTTTAGACAATAACAGTGCAGCGGAAACAATATATGAACAAACAAAGTAAGAAATCAACCAAGAACACACAGATGAAGAATGAAGAACACGAGAGAAAAGCTTCAAATGATTTTCAATTCTATTGAAAATATTGACAATTACAATACGGAAACACACAGAATTACAAAGGCCTAAGTTGCTATTTATACTAGTTCCTAACGGCTTTTCTGACATG